CAAGCAGATTGAAATCCATATTGCTTGTTGTTCAAGAGATTGTTCTTGTTGAGGTGTTGTTGATTATAGCCTCAGAGTTTGCTGAGGACATTGATTGGCTGATATGGAGTCAGGGATGAGCGCTCACCTGCATTCTTGAAAACTGGGCATACACTTGAGAATGATTTCTCCATTAGACAAACAATTTTGGGGATAATTCAACACAGACATTCTTAAGGAAAATCATTTTTATCTGGGCTAGTAGACTTCTAATTGTCAAGGCTTGTGATATGTCTTGAGACTTCCCGGACCATGATAGAAATATTACCAAGTTTGTGCTCCATGAGAGGAGGAGGAGGAGGGAGGGTGTCAGGAAGAGGATTGTCCTCCAATGTGGAGTTAGAAGCAAATGTATTTTTGAAGGGCTTTGCCTTATATGACAAAGATATGATGACTTAAGGGACATTAATGATAGTAGGCACTGACACTTTGTCGCTATTAAGAATTTGGTTAGAGATTTTCCAGAAGTCATGGGATTAAATAAAGTCATTTGCTTTCAACTCTGGCTTGGACTACTTGTTTGTATTTTCTAGAACTCTTGCACTGATTGTTGGCAGTACTAAATTCAGCAATGGACCTACTATGATAGATATTGTAATACTGGTTATGGTGAGCTATGGCTACAACACAATCTGGAGTGAACCAGGTTGACTATTTGGTTTTTGCTGATATTTTTTCCATAACCAAAATATATTTTGCATTGTAAGGCGGTCACTGTAATTCAGTGTGGGGGGAAAATTCTACAGGTATACCTCAGGTTACGTTGTTTCGAGTTAAGTCGTTCTCGATTATATGTCGTTTGTCAAAAAAATATATGGAAAAATAAAAATCAAATTTAAGTAATTTTTATTTGATTTTACATCTGTCCGCCACAAATATTGAAGTCATAATATCACTGGAAAAGGTTCTATCAATTGCTCGATCTTTTGAAATGAGTCAGACAACTGTATTGACAATTGTTCACAATAAGGATAAGATTTTGGCACATATCAAATCTGATGCCCCAAGGATGAAGGATACTGTTATCAATAAGAAAAGAGGAAAAATCTTTGAAGAGATGGAACAACTTCTTTCTCATTGGATTGATAGGTTGAATCATCTTCATCCTGCTATTAGTAAAGAAATCATTCAAGCGAAAGCATTGTCTTCGTTTGAGAACCTGAAAAAATGCCCAAATGTGAAAGATATAGAGTTTAAAGTGAGTCAAGGCTGGTTTATAAAATTTAAAGAATGAAGAAGTTATGACTATTAAGAAGCAAGGTGATGAACAAGCAGCAGCCGATTTTCTTAAAGCATTGGCTAAGATCATCAAAGAAAACATGTTTCTTCCTGAACAGATTTTTAACAGAAGTTTAATGTTGATGAAAATGAAACTGGATTATAATGGAAAAAAAAATGCCAGACCATTCTTTCATTGCTAATGCTAAACGTAAGGCTATATTGCTGATAAATTATTTTATTCAGAATACAGTAAGTACATATCACAAATACTGTAATATGCAATGGGAAGTGCTTATTTACAGTTTATAGTGTGGTTATTTTGACTTAAGTCATGACCTCTGGAAACAATGACATCGAGTGAGGTATACCTGTATTATAAGGCATCAAATATAATAATGTCAACAGACATTTTCCTTACTTTAAATAGACAATTGATATGAATTAAATTACCCTTTAAAATATACAATAAAGTAAATATGGTAGCATTTTAAAATCTAAGATGCTCAGAACTTACCTTTTGCTGGAAAAGAAACAAAAGACTATTTTAACACCCATTTTTTTTTTCCTTCTAAAACCAAATACACTGCCGGTATTTATTTAAAAAATCTTTTTATTAAAAGGAATTTGCAAACACATGCAAATCTGATACATTACCAATGTTAAATGATTATCTAACTTGTTGATTCTGACTGAAGGTTACTACACTCAAAACGAGAAAATTAAGAAAAACATGCACTTTTTTTTTTAAACATGCTACTAACAGAATGGTTGTTATTAAAAGAAAAGTGGTTAATATGTAATCCAAACTAAATTAGTTTCTCCTTTTAGATAATCTAATCATCTTATTGAGAAGAAATGCCAGAATTTAAAAAAAAGAAAAAAAAAGAAGTCATTTCTACCTAAGTTAATCCATTACTTAGTTATCTCCCCTACAAGGGTAAAATTTGATACAGACCCACTTTTAATATAAAACATACATAATTACTCATGATAGATTTGGTCCAGATTTTCACCATTTTTTGTCACCGGTATTAGAACTTAGTTTTTAGTACAAAGTAACAAGAGTAACCAGGCATAAAGGATTTTGTTTTCTTGTTTTAAATGCTAATGTTCAGTTAATACAATTTAGTAGAGCAGAAGACACTAGTAAATGGTGCGTATCCATATTAAAAGATCGTTTGGAGCTCATCCAATACAAGGCCCAGGAGCCACTCAAGGTAGAGGGTGGCTATGTGTTCTGTTGAGCGTTTCTGAACACGAAAATCCCCACTCAGCTATTCTTGAATTTATTTACTAATTACTATAACTGACATATGTTTAATTAGAGTTAGACTATAACAAATTGGACACAAGCCCAAATTTGTGGAATACCAGGGGGAAGAACCAACTAACAAACCAATTAGGACTAACCTTTAGGTTAGGTGCTTCATATTTTCATCATCATGGTTAACAAATTTTTCAACTTTCACTTTTAAAACCGCCCGGTTAATGTCATTCTTTCAACTAACAACACTTAATTTAATTTTAATTAAGTTAATTAAAATTAAATGAAGGAAGAAGAAAAAAAAGACACCTCGCGGGAGGGGGGGGGCTATTTGAAATATATATTTTTAAAACAAGTGTATTTTTTTTTATAAAAAGAAAATCGATAATTTAAATTTTTTTTAAACTAACACGACACGTATGACCACGTGACCTTTCTTTCTCAAACTCAAATAATGACTAGTTAAGTATAAGTGACTATATTTTATTTGAAAATTACATAAAACTTTTGTCATTTTCAAATAAAATATAGTCACTTATAGTCGTTATTTAACTTTTATGATAAAAGTTAAAGAAAAAATGTATCTCTTGTGATAAAGATATTTTTAAAGCGAAAAGCTTTTTTAAGAGAACGAATATGAAATGCAATTTTTTTTTGGCTTTTTGCTTAGTAAAAAATAACGAGACAAAAATATTGTAATAAGGTTGTTTTTTTTTTTTTGCTTGCTATCAAGAACAACCTGAAGCTTAGAAGGGATTATAGAAGGTAAGTCTTCTTCGTTATAGAACGGAAAATTATTAATGTAGATTGTAGAGAATTTCAACGTAGCCAACAAAGAAATACGTTTTTTTGTTTGTTTGTTTTTTTTTATTTTTGTTACATGCGTAAAAATGAAAGTGATACTTTTTTCTTTAGTGATTTAAGAGTCTTTTTTTTTTTTTTAAGTGTTGTTAAAAAAAGTGTTAAGTGTTACTCAACTGTGCTGTGTTACTGTTTTTGTTTAAGGATGAAGTGAATACCATATAAGTCTTTAATACATATTTTCAAGACCCAAGACGGATTCGAATCACATTGGAAGCGACAAAAAATAAATAAAATTAGAAAGAAATATTTTTAAGTGCGCAATTATTTTGTCTTTGGTTAAAAAAAAAAAAAAAAAAAAAAAAATATGACTTCAATTATTGTGGAAAATAGTTCACTACTTTTTCGAATCATCACCTGGTTTGCCAAAATATCTTAACATTTGTTCAACCTTTGCAAAAAGAAAAAAAGAAAAAAGTGAGGTAATGTTATTTGCGGTTTGCCTTTTTTACTTGTGATTGCGTAACAAACACTTGCAATATTTGATGTCGGCTTATTACGTTTATTATTAACTTTTTAAAGGGAGAAAAATCGGGGGATCCCATTTCATCGCATTATTTTCGCTCTTGTAATTGAACGTAACTATTTACAAAAGAATAAAAAAGAAAAAGAAAAATAAATAAAAATAGCAAAACAACGCAAAACTGGAATTTTATTTTTATTTTTTCCACATAATTTTTTAAAAATTATTTCTAAAACGGTGTACGTAGATTACGCAAAAAGCGAGAGAATATAAAAATTTAAGCAAAAGTTTTATCACATAGAAAAGATAAAAGAGAAATAAACAGAACTACTTATGACAGTAATTATTTGATCTAATGATTAATGATGAAAATTAGAACGAATATATTTTTAGTTTAACTAACAGAACGAACGAAAACAGTGGCAGTGTAGGTTACGAAAAAAAGGTCATTTTCTTTTGCTTTCTTTTTAAAGTTTGTTTGTTTAAAAACTAAAGCAATGAAGGACTTTAATTTATTTTTTTAAAATATTTTTGCTGATTTCATAATTAAAACTACACAATTAGCATCACTTTTCCCTGGTTAAAATAAATCAATCGACAATCGGTCACAGAAAAAAAAACATAATAAAAAAAAAAATTGTCTAATTGAGATGACATGTTTCTTATTTTAACTTATTCCTCAGTACGTTTTACGATGCAATATATCACATGACCAAACTTGCCCATATACAGATACTTAAATGCAGTTTCTTTCCTGGTAATTCTATATAACGAATATTTTAGTTAGTGTTTCTAACTAAGTATTATTTTCCCGACCTTAAAAATCGGTCTTAAAACGTATGTTTCATAATTTTTACAAGCTGAAAAATAAATATAAAAAAAAAACTTAATATTGTCAAAAGTTCAGACATTCACAAAATTAACGCATAAGAAAATAATCATGCTTTTTAATAAATATTTTTTTTTTTAACGAAGATATTTTGACGATAGATGAAAAACAAGCGACATTTCTTATTTTCGCCTTTAACAAACAACAACGGTAACACAGAAAAATAAAAAGCGCACACGCGTCACTAAGAAAAATGACGAATTGGTTCCGATCCAACGTTTCACAGACAGAACAATATCGAGAAATGAGCTAAGAAGACGAAC